ATGTATCCTTCCAGGAAGTTGGAGACAGAGAATGGCTTTGCGCTTTGGGACTTTGTTGGTGTTTTCACAGGATGTTGACACAGTGGAGGGAATGGAAAGGGTGTTGGAGTGAAGAAAACAGCTCTAAAATAACCCCAAAATTAAGGCACTGAAGAGAACTTGCATGCAACTCCTAGTTGGCCACACAATACCTTGCAGCTTGGCTGGTAAGACACAAGAGACGGAGCAGCGTTTCAGAAAGCCAGTTCCCTCTGAGCAGAAGAAGGTTGCATAGTTCACCAAAGATGAGTCAGGAACACCACAGTCAAGAGGCATGCAGCTCACATCTCGGTCCCAGTGTCCAGAAGAACATGTGAGTAGAATTTCCTTCTAGAAACAGAGAATTTACTTCTGTCAAAGTCACATAAAGAGGCTCATCAAAATAATTTCCAAGCTTTGGAAGAATCCCAGTAATTTATCTAAACATTCAAAACAGGTACAATTACTTTGGCTTTCTCCCTCTTTATGCCTCATTGTTTTATTAGTATATAGTCTTACAATACTCAAATACAGTGCTGATGATAGAAGCCTGTGAGTAGAAGGGACGTTAAGGGGCAAGACTCCTCAAGGCCAATTCTGCAGGCTGCCTGCCACTCACAGCTCCAGCTCCATTCTCCACACTTCACCCTGCTCTGCGCCAGGGACCCTGGCTCTGTGGGTTTTATACTGCTTATGTGTGCGTGGGTTCAACCCCAGGATGCAATGGCAGACCAGAGAGGGACACACAGGAGGGAAGCCAGGATGCTGATTGTCCCTATTCCCTCATGGGGCACTGTGGGTGGGCCATGTCCTTTGGGAGCCCACTCCACCCAGCATCTGCTCCTTCTGACTGTGCTTCTGCTCCTACCTTGCAGACCCAGGAGTGATAACCGAGCTTCTTTACCTTGGGATACTGCCCCATCTCCTCGTGATTTTCCTATATCCTGTCCACCCTTTATGAGTAATCCCTTATGAAAGTTTTGAGATACACAAAAATCAAGAAACATAAAATCCGTGCAGACAGAAACAAACAAAACCCTCCCAGAAACACCAATAAGCCAAACAATTTGACACTTGCACGGATGACTCAGAAAGGACACTGTCCACTGTGTTTCTTAGAGTGAAATAATGGACCATAACAATCTGTATCAAAACTTTTCTAGTGACTCACGTATTAAATTCTCTCAAATTACCTACTTTTAAACACATCATCTGCTTCCTGCTGGCATCCCTATTACTAATAATAAGCCAACTGATAATACTATTGAAATAACTACCTCTACCGAGAACAGTGCATTGCATCTAAGAACAGCATATGATGCACTTTCCAAACATCGTGGTTAAAGATAAGAGATTCGAGGTGCTTCCTGGGGTCTGTCACTTCTGTGGGGTAGCCCTGGTGCACATGGCTACTGATCAACTGAAGAGATGTGTAACAGCTGTACTAACCAAGGTGCCCTCAAAGACCTCAAAATCTACCAGGGGACCAAACAGCGTGCTGAAACAGTGGCTCAGAAAATGTGTAAGGGAGGAAAAATAGAAAAGAGAAAAGAGGAGAGGAAGGCAGGAAAGAAAGTAAAGAAGGAAATTCTAGAGCTACATTTGTATCTGTTATAGCCTCTCCCCTTCTCTAATGATTGAAGAGAATGCAATATGAAGAATGTAAACAATAAAAGAAAAGAAGTAGAAAACTGGGATCAGACAGAAACTATAAATATGCAAAAATAGACTACCTGCCAGGACAACAGCACCCCAGGAGCTGGAGAAGGGACTGCCATCTTTGGACACAGAGAGAAAGCATTTAGAGGAGGTTTCACGGAGTAGGTAACACCGGAACTGGCCTTTGAAAGATAATCAGGACTTTCCAGAAGCACAGGAACAGGTGGGACATAAGGTTGCTAGGGTAGGGGGACGGAATAGCAGGACCTGAGACCTGCAGGCTTATGGCTTGTCAGGGAAAGGTGCAGTCATCATTCCAGCCACTGGTTTACCAAAGGTCAAAGATAGAGAGGGTGTTTCTATGGCTAAAGCAAGCTATCCTGCCAGGATACCAAAGAGGCCCCAAAGCCAAGAGTAAAATGGCAGCTGAAGGCACCTGTCACCCCTGATACTGACTCCTGGCTAACTGCTTCTGCCTGCTTCCCAATGTTTCCCTGTGGCCTGCCAGAAGGACCCAATTCAAAGCCAGACACATTTTTCTGTTTAGTTTCAGTTCTTATGTCAACAAAAAGCAAATATCCCCACTGTCTTGTGATCACGAGCCGGGATTGAATAATTTCCTTCACGGGGCCAGCCTCGGGTGACAGCAGCATTCAGCCAGCTGGGAAACTCTGTTGCTGACTCTACCATATGTTTGGCAATGGGTGAGCTCTCCCTTTTCTCCTCCCAACCCAGATTCTGCCCCTTACACTCTTATCATGGCCGAGACATCTGGCTCAAACTATAACAAGCCACTATCACACTATCACTGAAAGTGTATCTCTCAGACCCTGAATATATTGCCTTTTTTCCCCCCTGGCTTTGTTATGTATCGTCTGTTTTGTCATGAATTTGCTCCTAATTTTAGTTCACTGCAAACATTGTCTTTTCTTCTCTCTCTTCTTCACCTGTCACATAAGTGTATTCAGTCCCTGCATTTTTTTCACTCTCTCTTTTTTTCAAATGCTTTTCATTATCACAGAACATGGCGCCTGTAAGGGGTGGAGGGAGAGGAATTCAAATTGGGAAAGGCTGGATGGTCATTTCATTTCTTCTCTTTCTTCTTATCCTTCTCATTCATAGCCA